GGGGGGGGGGGGGGGGGGGGGGGGGGGGGGGGGGGGGGGGGGGGGGGGGGGGGTTGGTCAAGAGGTTAATATGGTGCAGCTTGTTGAAATTGTGTGTCTCTACGGATTGGTATTATTTGGGTATAGTTAAAAGTTATCACATGAGCATATTCCTTGTCGGACACCGACGAAGGTTGTCAATATATGCATAAGAGCACAAGTAATAGTAACGAAATTAGTGCTACCATGTTTTTTTTTTCTTTTGTACTTTTATCGGTTTACCCATCCTTTTTCGGTTTTACTTTTGATCGGTCTCAAGTTGTTGGGGTGCCCAGTACGTGACCGGTTGCCGTGCGCGTATCCCGTGGCTGGTTACTGCCCTGACCTTCCGTTAATCCCTCCGGTTTTGTCCTTTGTCCGTCGTCACTTCTCCCTCCAGTTGGCGAACGTTGCAAATGCTACCTGACCAGATTGAGAGCATTAAGCTGTCACCTGCTGCGCTGCACATATTTTCACATACCGATGCTTGGACTTAATTAATATTTTTGCACGTTTGTCAGCTGCGTCTTGTAGCAACTTGTCACCGTTATTTTTTATGTTCCATGCGATGCGTCTGAATGTCACCACACAATTCTTGCTCATATGTCAAAATCGACAAAACCTTTTTGTTTCGTCCTCACTCTCTTCTGTACTGGTTCCTCGCGTTTACCTGCTTCCTTCTCCTTTCTTTCCCTCTTGCTACGCAGATGGCTTCCCCCGTTCCCTCCACCGATCGCCGCAACCAGGATCGCTCGCGCTCTCGCAGTCGGGAGCAGTCGGGGAGGGCGAAGAAGGCACGCTCTCCACACTCCCGACGCTCTCGCAGTAGGGAGCAGGCGGGGTGGGCGAAGGGGGCACGTCCTCCCTCGCGCGCCCGCAGCCACTCTCGCCGTAAGAGTCGCTCCCCCCCCGAAGAATCGCTCTCCTTCGCGCGCCCGCAGCGGCTCTCGCCGGAGGAAACGCTCTCCCTCGTGCTCGAGCAAACGGCGCCGCTCTCCCTCGCGGTCGTATGCACGGCACCACTCCCTCTCGCCGCCACCCAGGCAGAGCCAGCGCCGCTTGAACCGGACGTATTTCTGAACGGGTTTCGGGCAGCACAACCAGACGTTCACACCGGTCGGCGCAGGGAGCTGCTTACCGATCTACTACACGAACACCTGTTTACGCACAACCAAATCACTTCGGCCGAACCGTACAAGTGCCTCCCGACGCGGTGAGTGGTAACCTCGAGTTGTTGTACGACGCCAAGCCATCAGCGGTGAACAGCTGTCGATATTCGGGCATCGACATGTGGCGAGGTGTAGGGTTAGCCGCACAGAGGCAATCCTGCTCGCCCGCGCGGGTCGGTTTGCGGGGCGTCGGCGGGGTCATGTATGGCTTGGAACGCGCTCTCAAAACGGCTACAAACTCGCGGAACAGGCCCTCAGCTACCTTGCCTCGGTGGCTCATGTGATCCGCCATGGGGTGGTGAGACTCTTGACGCGACTTCTGCAGGGTGGTGCTGACAGAATGTATGCGTTCATGTAGCAGCCCGTTGACCCCGGCTCTGTCAACCGGATTCGGCAGGAGTACCTCGGTGACGCGTTCGAACAAGGCTATCATCTGCACTGCCGAGATATACCGCCAGAAAAACCGCTTTTCGGTGATGTGGGGCCGGTCAGGATCTACCATTGTGGCGCGGAAGGCTGCTAAAACGCGGGCTGCGGCGGTGGGCATGGATTCGGGCGTACCAAGCACCATAGCCTGCAACGCGGCATTAGCGCAACCGCACCCCCCGTCAAGGCATGTTCACGCACAATGAGACGCAGCCAGTCGGTAGCCGTTACACTACTACTTCTCCTGTTATGCGATACAGCGCGCCCCGCCGGCCGCCGCCTATCACCGGGCTAAACTCTGTTGCCGCCGTAGCGCCGCCCGTTACTGCCCCAGAGACCCCTTCGTCGGTTGCCGTGGCAGCGTTCCAGAACCACAGGGCCAGCACGCCCGGCCAGCACAGTGTTCCTTTCACGGCCAAAGCACCGTCATCGACGGCCGCACCAGCGACAACGCCGCCAACGGCCGCCACTACGGTCATCGCAGTGACACACCCGCCGGTGACTGCACCCCGGTCCGTGATCCTCGATCACCTCATGGAACATGGGACCTGCTACGCCCACGTGTTCTCGGCCTGCCGTCGACAGGGCCGTTGCAGGTGGCGACACGACCTACTGCCAGCGTCATTCTACAAGGACGTGCCACGTCCGGCGAGCCATGGGGCTACTCACACGCGCCGCGTCGTAGCCGCGTTGACGCCCGCCCATTACGACACTGCCGTGGCCATGGGCCTCGAGCTTCACGTGTCGGGCGAGCATCAGGTGGCGATGATGGCAGGGAACATCCCGCTGGGACCCCGGAGTGACGCCGAAATGTGAAACGAGGACCCGGGTCTCGCCAACCCGGGACACCTTGCGTCCACGAGGACGGAGCACGGCGCCGGCGATCAGTTGTGGATACGTGGTGAGATCGGACGAGTTGGGCGTAGACGTAAGTCGTACCCAGTGGAGATTTTGCTTGATACCGGGGCGGGCGGGGGCAACTATATTTCATTGGAGCTGTGGTTTCGCGTACGTACATTAGCGAGGTGCAGGTTGGACAGACGTTCGGCGGGAGCGTTGGAAGCAGCGAATCCGTCGGAAAGTGGCGTGCCCCCGATGCGCATTCTAGGACATGTCACGATCCCAATCCTGTTCCAAATCCACTCTCAATTACGATTCGTCACGGCCAGAGTAGTACCGGATCTCCTGTACGGTATTATCATCGGCGCTGAATATCTTCGACGCAACAAGAGCACACTTGATTTTGGAGAAGGCAAAGGCTTTCAACCCACGCCTGACGCGCCCTTCGTACCGTTTCTGTCGAGGCCGGTAGACCACCCTGCCCAACCGTCACCGCTCTCAGCCGCACACGACCGCTTTGCTCTCTTGACATGCGACCCGCAACGCGACACTAACCTGTCCGACATTGCCCCGCTGCCCGAGCTGCCCAGTTATCGTGACGTCGCGTGGGAGGATGACAGCACTCTGGGATGGGACCTGTTTCTAGGCTCGCGGATGTCATCAGGGTTCACTACTATAGCGATGCAGACTGTAGCGATAGGTCCTCGGCCACAGGACAGGCAGTTGGTGATGGTGTTGCCCACGGAACGGTTCGATCTAGAGAAGGGAGCCACAGTTGGGATTGCACGTGCAGTGATGTGGTGGACGCCGGGAACACCGGTGTACTGCAAGTTGGTAAACCGCCATGCTCGGGTTGTCGAAGTCACTAACGGTGGCATTTGCGCCAGGATGATCGCCCTCAATGTCCGCGACCGGGGCCGTTTCGCCTCTTTGTTCGACGATACCCCGTCCATTGTTGACCCTCCACTCCCTGACCCGGTTGTTGTGCCCACCCGTGACACGAGCGACGAGACCTCCGCGGCCTCGCCACCCACTGTACGGGCGGCCGACGCTAACATGGGTCAGCTTGGAGCGCTACAGAAGCAGGAGTTGGTCGAGGTTCTGGCCACGTTCGTTGAGGAAGGCCTCTGCCCGATCGACCCTAAGAGAGTGGCCGCATGCGGTGGCAGTGAGTTGGAGCTTCCTTTGATCGACGAGTTTTGTACACCTCACGCAGATCAGGCAAACCGTGCCAAGTGGAAGGTGGCTGCAAGAACTTGCAGGCCCCTGTTCTTGAAAACGAGATGTGTCCGGCGGGCGCCCACTACACGCACTCCTCGTGCCGCGATTGGGAACACAAATTCTGCGGCCGCAACGGTTGCATCGAGCGTGGGTCAGGAGCGGTGCCCGCGGGCACGGGGGTACAGCAGTCCGTCGGTGAGCCCCCTTCTGGTGGGTCGGTGTCCGCAGCTTGGGCTTCACCCGCGGGTCAGGCGATCCTTCACACGGCGCAGTGCGCCGCTGGCGGCCGATGCAACCAAGGAGGAGATGGCGCCTTGAGCGACCGATGCCAAGAAGGAAAAAAACAAAGGAAAGGAAAAAAAGGAGAGTGGCGTCCAATCCGAGAATCGAACTCGGGTTTCCACAGCAAGTAATAATAATAACAAAGAAGAGGAAGAAAAAGAAAGATAAGAAAAGAAGGAAAAAACGATCCCCCCCCCTCTATGCGCCACAAGTCCAGCCGTGCTAAGGATGTGCTTTTGGCGGCCAGAGATATGAGTGGCTCATGGAGACGCATGTATCGGAGTTAAACTACCTGGTGCATTTGTACAACGTCATCAACTCGGCCTGACCATCGTACAACGCGTGGTAAAAAACACAAGAGTCTTCAGACGGAGTAATGCTAGATGTAACGAGTTAACCTACTTGGTACAACATCATCACTCGGCCTGATCGTCGTACAACGAGTGTTATAAACACGGAGTCTTCAGACGGAGTAATGATAGATGTAACGAATTAACCTACTTCGTACAACGTCATCACTCGGCCTGATCATCGTACAACGCGGGTTAAAACAACACGGAGTCTTCAGACGGAGTAATGCTAAATGTAACGAGTTAACCTACATTGCACAACATCATCACTCGGCCTGATCGTCGTACAGCGCGTGTTGAAAAACACGGAGTCTTCAGACGGAGTAAAGGCCGTTTTAAACGGACCGACTTTTTGTCAAAATTTTTGAAAGTGTC